CGGCTTCTGCTCCAACTGATGGATACGCGCGCGATGGCTGGAGAGAGGCTTGGCTGGCTTGAGGGGGTCTATTTATCAGGGAACTCGATTAAAATACAGACTGCACATGACATCAAATTTGTAATCATTTTTCCACAGCAAGCCAGCGTTTTCTGTATTGGATGCAGGTGTTTAAAGCAATAGTGTGTTTTAAGGGCCAGTGCAGCACAAATTCTGGCCTTTGGGATAATGACAAGTGTTTTGCCTGCATAAACAATATATTTTTTTTCCCCCTGAGGTCCGCGCACACCTAGTTTCCCTCCAGCTCATCATCTCTGTCAGGTTAATCAATAGGCACCGTATGGCAGAGGGTCAGTAATCAGTGTCATCGTGCCTTTAAATCGTGTTGAAAATTTGCTTAAAGCCTGGGCCAATTAACATCGAGATGATGAATGGATGGGTAGATGGGAAGAGCCTGGCGCTCAGGGGCTTTGTGAGAAGGAGATGCTCAGCTGTTGAGCAGCAGACACCAGCGAATAAAATCAGCCATTCATGTGAGCTCAGTCCACCCACTCTTAATGATAATGTCAATCTAGCAAAATATATACACATTGGAGTTGTCATGAGTTCATAAATCAAAGGAGTTTGTCAAAGGCATTCAGATTAACGAGGCAGCAGCAATAACAAGTCAAATTTGCATAGAGAATTGCCCGAATCTCAGTAAATTATGATCCTGTTTTTCATTTGATTATTTGCTAATGTCTCAAGAGGGAGAATGATTATATTAGCATGCAAAATCTACTCCAGAAGTAGAAATCCGAGGTATAGCAGACCAGCGCACGATGACAATTAATCAGTTTCTGCATACTAGCATAAACGCGCAAGGCCCAGAAATGAACTCCTTTTTTTATTATTATTTCTCCTTGCTACTGATCCAAATGGTTCAGCTTGACAGAGACTTTATATTGCTTTAACAGTGTTCTGAATTGTGCCTGCAGGCAAGACATAGTTATGCAGCTATAACCAACCTATCCATCTGCCAACCAGATTGGAATTCTCCTATCCAAGGCTTCCATTAACCCCCACTGACAGCTCCAAACAGGATTAAGAATTTGAAAGCATAAAAAATAGTTGTGCTCCTCGCATAGACACACACTTCTCCCCCACCCCCAGCTCCCCGCACTCGGGAAAAAAAAAAAAAAAAGAAAAAAAAAAAAAGGCTGCATCTGTACAGTTTTATAATTAGTGCCGGGCAGAAGAGCCCCAAAGAAAGCCTCCCCCAGTTGGCAGGGCTTTGATTTCCACCATGACGAGCGAGGCGGTACTAAAGGTAGCTCTGCCCAATTGGTAGTCCCTGGGAGTGCATTTATCCACGTATTATAGCTCGTTCCCAGCAGTGTTTTGCTGGGCTGCGTACACAAAATGCTGCGTGTCATCTCCCATCAAGCGCTTCAGTCTGGGGACTGCGGATGCGTTGTAGCATGGTGTGTTTAGCGGCGGAGGAGGCTTCACGGGGAGAGTTAAATAGTAATAATTTCGTAGTGGTCTTTAAGACAACCTGCCACGGAATTATATTCTGTTAATTACAGGCTGAAGTTTTAAATGCAAATCAGATTTAAAAGGCTCTCATTACAGACAGGAGCCATTTTAGGAGGAACAAACTACGGAGGGCGAAGCCCCTTTTCGCAGGAACCTCCTGCTAAAGAGAAATTGTGAAAGTTACGAGAAATAAGCTTGGGTTTGCTGCCTCCTCTTCCCAGCACTTCCAATGTCATTGTGTGACCTTGGGCAAATCAAAACCAAAAAATTTGTTTTGCCTGTCTGTGGAAACCGTGTGCGCACGTACACGTTACTGATCTCACCACGACTGATTTGGAGACTTTGGCTGCTTCTCATCTTATCTTTCTCATCCTTGTTTGAAATAAAAGAGCCTTGAGTTCAATGCAAACAGTTTTGGCCAGTCTGGCTTTAGTCTGCAAAGGAAGGTTATGGGATTTTTTAGTTTTCCCTGATGAAAGAGAGTTTGTATGGCTTTTCAGCTTTCGGTCTGCGCTGGTTTTCTTTGCTCCTTTCACCCGAATAAATTCCATCATTCATCTACTATGTATCAAGCATGATTGCTGCAGATCTTTAATATTCCCGGCGAGTACACCCAAAATACCGTCTGGATACCAAGTGCTCCTTTCCGGCTCTGTGCCTGAGACGTGCGTTTCAGTAACCACGAGAGGGTGCTCGGAGCAGCTCCTCCCTTTGTCTGCCTCTCTTGTGGCAGAGAGCATCGCCCAAGTCCTGCCGAGGCAAACCTTGCTCTGACCTCGCGCATTTTTATCCCTCCTCCCACCTTGTTGAGCAAGGAGAAATATCTCGGTGCCCCGTTTCAGCCGGTTATCTCGTGCTCTTCCCGTGGCCGTGGCTAAGCGTTGCCCTGTCGAGTGTCACTCCCTTCCACGCAGCCACGGTTAGTCCTGAAATACGCAGGGTCTTGTCCCTGCCCCTGGATCGATGGCTTCCCTCTTCGTGAGAAACGAGTGGGAGTTACAAACATCTGTGCTTTTTTTTTTTAAAGTGTGATGACTTTCCAGTCATTCTGTCTTCACCGAGCGTAACTTGCTTGCCGACAAAAAGTGCACGAGCAGCGCTCCTCCGTAATGGGCTGCGCTTGGAGCTGCTGTGTTGGTGCTGTAGAGTGGGGAGACGCCAAGCTGTGAGCCACCATATGCACTTGGCAGTCTTTGTCTGGTCTTTGTTCAGCCAACCTCTTAGCCTTGCCACCTATAAAGATAATGAATGCAAAATGGTCCTCTGCTCGCTCTTAAAATCGGATGCTCGGCTTAAAGAAAAAGGAGATAACTTGATGCTTTGCGGTAGCTAGGAATTCACCATCAGATTTTTCTCCTTTTTGAGATTTTTGGAGGGAGAATCTTAAATGGTTTGAAAGGCAAGAAGAAGGCAAGCTTTCAGTTCCATAGAAAGGATTCTTAGGAGTGGGAAAACATCTTAGCACTTGCAGTAGGGAAGGGGATGACTGCTGGAAAAGCATCCAAGAGGAATGAACAACCCCGTGAGTCCAGGAGATGCACAGCGCCCACCTCAGGTTCCTATGTTTCTCTCCCTTGGTCTTTTTCTCCAAAGCACAAAAATTAAAACCCTCTTTTGAATCCCACCATTTGCTAAACTGTATTTCATGAGTAGAAAAGAGCAGTTTTAACGTTTGCCATTCCTTTTTGGAGATATGTGATTCCAACTGGAGTGTTTTTACGATCACAGTCCTTTCTAGGCTGGATTTAATGTAATAACTTGGTCCTGGCAGGGGCCTCACATGAAAACTTCTAAAAGCTGGCCTCTTCCAGCGATTTATCAGGCCCGTTTAGGATTGATTTCCATTATAAAACCCTAGTTACAGCATCCCAGATATCACGGTGCCTTGCGAGCCCTATATCTCGTTCAGACAAACAACCAAAAAGCGTCAAAGATCAGTAGCTGGTCTGCAAGCCTCGACTTCCACCCAATCCTCTTGACCAATTGATGACATCCCAAGCGTGTGTGTGTGTTTGTTTTCCCTTCCCTGCCTTTTCCCAACAAACAGCTTACATCCCACACCTCCTGGCTGTGCCTTTTCCTCCCCTTCAGCAGAGCTGAGCTGCCTGGACCCCGGCCGATGACCGCGCTGCAGCGGGCACCCTGCTCCTCTGCTCGCCCTGCTTTGCCATGCTGCTGCTCCTCCTTTCACCAACAGACACCACTTCTGCCTCCTGAGATGCTGGGCTGGAAGCTGGATTTGGGAGAAACCAGGCAGAGCCGTGCTCTGCAAAGGCCAGGTTATTTTGGGGGCGAGGAGGCACAAGCACAAAACGCATCGCTTCTGCTTGAAATCCTGCTCTCCGGAGCTTGTCTGCGAGCAACTGGAAAACCACCCTTTTCCTGGCAGAGCTCTCCCTAAGCAGTTTTTCTGTATCTCTTTAAAACCTGTTTAGTTACTCACTACTGAATGCGTGGGAATGTGGCCTAAGGCTACGAATACTGTGGTGATCAAACTGATTTTAGATGTGTATGTGGGATTCCCCCAAAGCTGGCTGTCATTACTCTGTCAGCGCAGGAGCTGAACCCGTGCAAAGAAACTGTCTGCTGGAGTAGCTGGCTTTGTCAGCGAGGACAGGGTTCCCCCCACACGCCCAGCACTTTTTAACCAAATGTTTGCTAAAGATTGTACGCGTTTGGAGATAAACAATATCCTGGCTTTACTCTAAAGCAAGGAATAATTGGCTTTAACGGTGAGGTCAACAACAAAAAGCTCCTGGAGTTCTTTCTTATTTGTGCTGAAAAAGCCCTCGTATTTCTTTTTTCTTCTCCTCCTTCCCTCGTCTTTCCTAATGCTCTTCTCTGGAGGTGGTGGCTTCAGTTTTGCAGCCTCAGTCTTTCTAGAAACGGTGTTTGTGTGTGCAGCTTCAGGGGGCAGAAGTGAAAAACATAGCCACGGTATCATTTGCTACCCACAATTTTTTTTTTTTTTTTTTTAAAGGACCTGACAACCTCTTACACAGGAATTTAGCTTAATTAAATTTCTCTATGATTTTTGGCAGCCCAGCAGACTCACTACAATTAGTGATTGTTGGACAGATTAAAGCATAAGGGCAGAGGGAACAGTTGCACCCATTCCTGGTCTTTTATTTTCCTCAGGTTCCGCTGTTTTAAATAGTTCTGGGGTGCTGGGGAGCACTGGTGTTACCATGCTGACCCAGCCGTTATTTCAGCTTTTCCAAGAGGCAGTTATTGGTAATTTCAGAATAAATCTCCAAAGCACAGTCTTCTTCGATAGACACCTGCACAGTGCTGCATTGCTGTACTGAGGAGAGATTCTTTCTCTGCCATAACAAGCTGTTTGGCTTAAAAGTACAAGTTAGCCTCCGGTGTGCGTATACATAAAATACTGTAGCTTGCATAGTACAAATATTCTGTTTCTTTTCTCCTCGCAGAGTAATATTAGGGATAAGAACTGAATTAAAGCTTACTTTCTTTCACAGAACTCCTCTGAGAGAGAAGACTGTAATAATGATGAGCCCCCTAGGAAGATCATTCCCGAGAAGAATTCACTTAGACAGGTATGTGATCAGTCTCTTTAAAAATGCAATAAAACTTTCTAGCTATTTGAATCCTTAAATGCTTTTGGAAGCTGAAGTCTGACTTATGCTCATGGAAATCCTTTCTTTTCTCCCTTGAAGTCTGAGCTAGTCACAGTATGCCCAGGAAAATCAGACACATGGATTTACCTTCCAGGAGAGTCAGTGACTCTTTCTAAGGAAATCCAGACTTCTGCTCTCCAGTTTTACCTTTTTCCAGTTGGTATTCATCTTCAGCCTTTTCTTCTGTTCTTGTTCCTGCCTTGTTTGTAGTATGTTTTGTCTTGCTTCAGATCCTGTGTTCAGGAATTTCAAAGCATTCTAGAACAATTAAGTTTTCCATTACCCTTGAAGGTGGATTTTCTTGGAGGTGTTGTCCGGGTTAATAACCTGAAAAATGACCAATATTCTCTTCTACATTCATGTATATGCCTAGTGGGTAGAAAAGATAAAGAGTGGGCTGCTAAACCATAATATCTCAGCCTTTTATGTATAGTAAAGCAAATTTCTTACCAGTTCGTCAAAAAATGACATTGTTCACAGCAAAGTGATTAGCTGTGTTTCAGGATATCGTTGAGATGCATCAGAGCTTTCATCTTTATGCCCAGTCTTCAGTGTGGCCAAAATCCTTGGGTCTTCTGGTAGCTATATGGTGCCTTAGGTGTTGAGAACAGTGTTTGTGGATAAGTTCAAGCTGTAGCCTTAAAGCAAGTACCTTCTTGTCTATATCACATGAGGTGGTTGCCCGAGATTTTGCGCGTGTTGTAGAAGGAATTTAGATTCTTTGTGTAGGCATCGATAGAAACTATCAAAGCATTTTGGAAGCTCATATTGCTCCTTTTTCCCTATTAATGATGGACAAGAACAAGTTGGGAATTTTCCAACTGTAGAGGAAGAAATCAGACACAGATACATGTGCTTTTTTCCTTCCTAATCAATGAGTAAAAGTGATGCTTAATGGAAAGATCTGCATCTCCTAGAGGAAGGAGTGATTACCCTGTCTCACATCTGCGCATATTTTGTAAAACCAAAAAGATCTGTCCTGCAAATGCTGTCAAAGCAGTAATACTCAAAAAGTGCTGAGTGCGGTACTAGTACCTTAGTGGAAAGATGCTAACTTGGTAAATATTGAGTGTACGACTTCATATTTTCTGTCCCTCCCTTAAGACACTGCTGTTAAAATTTCATTATTGGGAAACGTGGACCTACCTGCGCAGAAGAATTGAATGTGTATGTGTGGAGAGAGGGGGAAGTCCGTCTGCTTAAACTGCCTTTCTAGTGAAATTGTCCATGTATTTAGTCATTTTTGATTAGTTAGGCATTAGCCAGGGCCATAAATGTTTCCTCAGGTAGGTTTGTGGAACAGATGTAGTAGAAGATGGAGGTAATAAAAAGGTGCGATGGTTACTTAGGCTTCTGAAGTTGTAAGCAGAGGCTGAAGACCCCCATAACTTAGTGCGATGGACCTCTCTAGAAGAAATGTAATTTTTCTGTTGACTGTAATGGCTTTTGTAGGAGGATATCTTCAGAAGTCTCAACAAGTGGAGCCGTGTCCTTAGCGTGCTGGCAGGAAGAGGCACGGCTGCTCAGAGGTTGGTGAGGGGCAGCAAGGCAGAAGAGATGCGGAGATCAGCACTGGGAAAGGAAACAGGAACAGGCAATGAACTTGACACTGAGCTGGAAGAGTAAAAAGATCTAAGCTATGACAGATTTGGAAGTACGGATGCAAATGTTCAGTTCTTGTTGAGTGCTCGATCTGACAAAATTAAATTTTGAAGGGGAAAACTGAAAATCACAGTATGAAAACAGACGTCAGAAAAAACAATGACAAGTGGCAAAAGTTTTTGGCAACTTTATTTAAGCTAACAAACGAATTTTCACACTGCAAAGTTATAAATTAATTTTAATAGGCTGATCCAGATGGTCCATTTGGAAAATGGATAGCTTGATCTGTTGAAAATTAAACTAAATTTATCTCTCTCATACTTCAAACTGAAGTAAGCGTGAGAAGAGTGCCCATTAAGTCCGGCTCATACAGATGGACCGGCAGGTCACACATGGGACTAATCTGATTCATTTTAAAAATAAATGCATGAGTTATTGAATCAGGTTCCTGTTTCAAGCCCTGCGTGTGAGCGTGTGTGTGTGTGTGTGTGTGTGTGTGTGTGCCGCCCTTTCAAAGGGACTCGCAAATGCTTCAGTGCCTTTTTAACCTGTGTGTTTCCATTTTAATTCAACTTCCTTGCCAAAAAACATAATTAGTTTTCAGTGCCTATCAGTTAGTGTTAGGCCCAAACACTAGATTGATTAGGTCAGGCATTTGTTATTTTAAGGGCTATGTCTCCATTCTTCATTTATGAAGAACACGAGCTCAATAGTCTTGGGGAGAGAGCCGGCCTTTAGAAACCGGGCAGGGGAAGCTCTCTGGGGGCCCCTCCAGCCTTTTAGCTTCTGGGTGTTTTTAACAGAGCCATGAATGCAGATTTGTAAATTTATTGCGGTGCCATCTGTTTTTTGCCTTTTTTTTTTTTTTTTTTTTGCAGGAACCGTATTATTGTTGGCTCGTATCTGTCTATTGTGGTGGTCACTCCCCGGGAGCTTGCCCTCATAGTCCTGAGGAAAGTGATGAATAGCGGGGGTCAACATGAATAGGTCACAGGGCAGCTGTCCGGGGCTGCCCTGAACTTGATTACCCCGCTGGTTTTTAAAGAAGACGGCCACAATGCAGCTTGTTTAAAACCCTGCCCTCCCTTCTCTTCAGCCGAGCAATAATGAAGTGCCTTTCGGTTTGTTCTGCGGGGGGAAGCCGAGGCGAAGGTGGCCTCGTGGGGAGGTGCTGGCACCTCAAACGTGCTCTAGGCGCTGTTGCGGTGTTAAAGTAGAGGCACGCTGCTCGTAAGGGTTTGGAGTCAATACACGAGCCAACTGGAAGAAGCAGAAAGCAGGCAGAGAAGGTAGGGCAAAGCAAAGCACAGACAAAAAGCTGTTTGCTGGCAGCAGCGGCCTCATCCCGCTGCCTGGGGCTCTTCTCCGGGCACACACCGAAGTTCTCCAGAAGTGTTTCTGCTGTCCCCCTGAATAGGGATGGTTGCACGGAGTGAGGGGCTTCAGCCTCCTCCCTTCCCCAAGGGAGATGTCGAGGACGTACGTACCAGGTCTGTAATGCTCGCAGGGTTAGCTCTTCTTTTACACTGTATATATATATATATATATATATAAATAAATAATATATAAATAAATAATAATAATAATAAATAATATATAAAATATTTTATATATATATATATATACACACATATATATATATGTATTTCATCTCAAAGAAAAGAGAAAAAAAAATCCATTTCCATCCCTCCGTAGCTCTTCATGCCTGTTAAAAACCAAACCAACCTGGGTTGTGCTGGAGCCTGAGTTACAATGGGAATGCTGCCTCGTGGCAGAAAGGCCACTGGGCTCTTTCAGCAGTCGTGCTAATAGGAATCTGTCACCCTGCTGCATTTCTGCATTCCTCTGTAATTGAGTAAATTGCGAGTGTTGTCTACTCCCCCCTGCCCTTTGTGTCCGTGTCCACTTACCATCCGAAGAACGTGGGCAGTGATAAATAAAGCGCTGAACAGGGCTCTCAACTCTTTGAAAGCAGCGTGTTGCCAGCCCCCTAGTTATATTTCTTTAAGTGTTTATGTTTTTCTGTATTCTTTCTCTTGTGTGGCTGGAACCCTGGGGATCCGAAGCCATGAGAGAGGCCAAGAAGCTAACAAAGTAGCTGTCCCCTTGTTAGCTTGTTCCTTTCTTCTTTAAAAAACAAGATGAAAACCATCTGGCTCAGGGCATTACATTTTCCTCCCCCATGCACCTCTATAGATGAAGAGTTTCACCTGCAGTGAGGGTTTACATTGATTAGGGAGGGAGCAGTAATTCAAGCCTCCATCCACTTCAGTGGTACTTTGCAGTCTTTAAAGGTGCTGACCCATTGAGTTAAACTGTCAAGGGAGGATAAAAAAGGAGCTTCATCCCGGGAGGTAACAGCTGCCAGGTTTTCAACACCTTGCACGCTGCTGGAGAAATGTCACAAATTGTCAATGGGAAGAAAAATCGCTCGGCTGCCATCTTCCCTTAATGACGCGCCTTATAAAATGAAAGATTTAAGGGTTGAAAAACCAGAGAGTGGCTGGCGGGGAAAAGAAGAATCCGGAGGGATTTTGAACAATGGGGCCAACGAGATTGTGCCCTGAAAGACTGCGAGTGCGGCCTCCCAGTTGGAACAAGGGTTCAGGCGGGGATGGCCAGTTTGGCACGGTGGCACAAGAGGCGAGGGAAAGCAGCAGCAGCACTGAAGTCTAATATTGCTGTGTCCCTATTAAAAAAAAAAAAAGTCTGATTCATAAGCCAGTGAACTGAGAGAAGACATACTGTATTTCTGCTCTTTTGAGGACAATTTGTTTTCAAGCAGCTACCAGATGGCTAAATACCACGACATTTCCTCCTTTCTTTTTTTCTTCGTTATTTTAACAAGAGACGGAGTTCTCTTTGCTCTTTGTTTTTGTTTGTTTTCGTGCTTTTACTTGGCTGAACAACCCTGTGGTGGCTGGGCATTGTGGCACTCCCCCCCCCCTCTTTGCCCTTATGCATTGATGGATGAGGAAAAAAAGATCTCCAGCTTTAATGCAATTTCAGATACCAGGCAGATTGGAGTAAGGCGTATTGTTTGTATCTTGAGGTTTTTTTGTTTTAGGGGCTTTTTCTTTTTTTTCCCTGTTTGTTTTAGGTAAGTCATTTTAATTGTACTGAGTAATTAGAAGGTACACACAGCCAAGGGAGCTTTGTTATGGTAATTGCTCAAAAAACCCACTCCCCAACTACCATTGCCATGTGTTGAGACACTTCTTCCCTCTAGTGGCAATATTAAGGACTCTGGCTTTCACAGTAGGCAAGGTGTAATTGCAATATGACAAACTGTGCTTTAGGGAAAATGCTGTGAATGATCTAGTTTTTTTGTTTGGCTGGTCTTTATTATGTCTTATGGCTTTTTTTGTGGAGGCTACCCTTCCCAAAGACTGGGCTCCAGATAACAAAAATTTAGTCTTAAGAAAATAATTGCAGCGAATCATGGGGAATGTTTTACAGCTTGGCTTAATTCTAGTCTTCTTTTTAATTACCTGTTTATAAAAACGTTTTTAAATTTGCTGAGATTACTTAATTCTTTCAGAAGAAGCACCTCATTTGAAATAAATAAATAAATTGCATTTATTTTAAATAGTCCATGTGAAAGACCTTTAAAGGGTAATTAATGCAAGTCTCCTAAGACTCTAAGTAAGATGAAAGCGATCTTTCCAAATCTGCTGGAGTGATTTGTTTATATAACTTCCCACTTCTGCTGAATCCTTCGGAGTCTAATAACTTTTTTTCTAACCGTTTGGCAATTTGTGCTTAGCTACAAAAGCCCTTGTTCAAAAAGAACAGTTTAATAATCTTTTCCCTGAAAATGACTTGAAGGGAGGGTATGGGTTTTGTCTTTTTGCTGCGTTTTTATTAGTGTTATCTTTCTCTGATAAATCATGTAATTATTAACTATTGGGGGGGGGAGAAAAATCTTATTGAGCTCATGGGCTGCAGCTTCTATTAAAAAGTGGAGTTTTGTTCAGGGACTGGGGATTCGCTGGATAAATGGCCGAAGAAATGGATTGCAGTTGGCAGAAAAGCTGCACACGCAGCGCTGCCTTGGGTCGGAGGCTTCAGGTTGGCATTGAGCATTCATCCACAGCCGACACAAGGAGAAATGTTTACGTGTTTGTGTCAAAGAGCAGGATCGCACTTTCTTTAAAAAGAAAAATGTAACCAAAGACACTTACGGAATGAGATCGGATACAGCTCTATCTTTAGTGAACTATAGGCGAGCGTCTCTGTGGCATTTTAAGCCTTTGGCTGCGAGTGAATACAGCTTTGTGGTTCCCCTGCTTCTGACATGATTTGGGGTTGCCATATATCTGTAGGATTTTTTTTTTTTTTTTCATTAGAGCTTGTTTTGCTATAGGGCTGCTTAACACTGTTCTCAAACGGCTTTTGCAAGGTTAAAGGAATGCAGCTCGGTAACAAGTTTGTGTCATTTTAAATATATACCTCCTAGTAAATAAGGAGGAGCCTTGCAATCAATCCCTTTTAGTGTGTTATATGTTTCACCTGACAACTAAACCCTCTATTGATTAACCATTACTTTGTTAGATAATCTCGTGTCATTGAAGCCTCTGTAAAAATTAAACTCTTTAAAATGTTTTACCCTGGCAGCAGTGCGAAAATTGAAAACTTGTTCAGAATTACAGCCGGCTTCCACAAAGAGGGTAGTTTTCCCCAAACTGGTTTATGTTTGCATGCTTTATATGCAATATAAAAACATATTAAAGCACTCCAACGCAAAGCTATCTGCCTGTGGCGTTGAACCAGGCTACCACTTCAGCCTGCTTCTCCTTGGTGAAGAAGCCTCTTATCTTGATGAAAGGTGAGGAGAAACTCGAACGGTTTTGGCGCAAGTTAGATGAGATTCATAAAAGGGTCGAGCTGTAAAGGTGAGCTGAGAAATCTGCTTTTCTGTGACTTGGTTCTGGTTTTGATTTTTGTGTTTTTCTTCCAGATTAGTCAGTGTTCCCATAGTCATCGGAGCTGATGAAAGGAGGTGCTCTGGTGTTGCAGTGTAACGTGAGGCACCATCCAATGCTTACACCTAAACGTAGGGCTCTGCAGTATTATTTCATGATACGACAGTCATTCTGCTTCCAGTTTTGTCTTTTTCACTTGTAGCTGTTAGTGTACAGACACAATACAACCATACCAGGTGAAACCACATCTCCATGTGCAGCAGTGATCTGGTGTCTTATTGCTGCCTGCAGAGAAACAGTAGAAGACAACCTCCACGCTATATTCTTCCAGCTTCTCATGGCTGGACTTCATGAGCCAAATGCAGCATCTTTTCCACATTATCAATAGATTTCCTTTGAGACCTACTAAGTAGAGTGACATGACCTCTTTCCCCCCCTCCCAGACGGTAAGGGAGAACTTGACTTCTGCATTTTTGCTTGAAGTTTTTTGGCTGAATTATAGAACGTGCATCTTCTGTATCTCCTTTATTCATCACACGTAGCTAGTAATGCATTCTTCTCTGAGAGTATGAAAAGAACAGGAGAACTGTACAAACATAGTAAGGGACGTTAAGCTGATGATTGCTGTTTGTGTGTTTTATTCTCAAATCTGCATCCCAATGGGTTGATTCCATTATACACACTCCTTTTAATTTTCTTTTTTTTCCCTACTACTTTTATTGGGAAACAAAGAGCTGCTGAAGGACTAAATGATTGGTAATTTGGTGCTTACGTAGGTCTTTACATAACAAAATTACTGTACAAAAGTTGGCTCTCACAACAAAAGTAAGTTCTTGTCTCACTTCTGTGACTGAAAAATTTGGGAAGGAGAGATTTAAATATCACTGGCTAGTGGTCCAAGGGCAGAAGGTGTTAATATGGGAATGCCCAGGTCCATCTGCACTGTCGGTGGGAGATGCTATATAGTGAGAGCAAGGAGGTCTGGCCTCTCTCTGCTCTCCATTCCCCTCCTGCTCATGCAGCCCCTACAGCTGTTGCTCCAGGGGATATCCCTGCCAAATACTCCATGGACGTGCTGTTCCTGAGTTCGTTTAATCCCCCTTTCCACTTGCTGATGTTGTTTCTCTCTATGGCATCCTGTGGCAGCAAGTTCCTGAAGTTCACTGCCTGCTCTATGAACTGTTCCCTTTTAGCTGCTTTAAATAATGAAAATAAAGAAAAATAAAGCAATACGATGGAATATTTATTTGTCTATATTCTGATGTGCATCCAGCTTTTGAGTAGTAGTGTGGTGAGCTTCCTTCTCATAAAGTTCTCTTCTTTTTTTTTATAGATTCAGCCTGTATTATTTTACATAGTGTGTTTGGATTCTCCACTCTTTCCCATTTGTATATCTGAGAGAAATATCTGTATATGTATATCTGAGCTGCTGCATCTAAGCCACAATTTAATGTAGTTTATGCTACCCCGAGCTTTCTTCTGAAGAAAAAGTGCTGTGCATACCAGAGTGATGGTTTTATGACGTTGGCAAATATTTGCGAGAGGCTGCGTTGAGTCCCTCAGACTTCTGTTTGCTTGTGGCCTAATCCCGCTTTGAACCGAACCCCCCCCTGCTGAAAGATGCGCTCTGTTCGGCCACACGGCGCTCTGACAGGCTTCGTGTGTTTGAATTTTTCAGGCTCTCCTTCTGGATCCGGAGTCAGAAATCACTAGCTGGCTGCCAGTCGCAGCAGATAGCAGTGTTAGGGCTTGTAAGGAGATCCGCTGGAGCCGGGGTACTCTGCATTCCTGTCTGTCACTGGCAATTTTCTGGTTAGGGAGCTCACGGGGAAATAAAACGTAAACTGCTGGAGCAGTGGAGAAAATAAGTGTGTTTTTTTTTTTTGTTGTTGTCCTCCTTTTTTGTTTCTGTTTCATGATGGAGTTTGAAGGGGGTCTGTGAAGAAGTCCAGTGGAAGGGACTGTGAATCCCTGGATGTCCCCAGGAGTGTCTGTACTGTGCCGGACCAGTACAGATCGACCCGAAACAGTAAACTGTTTATCCAGTGTGGGCAGTAACGATGTGAGGATCAGAAAAACTCAGGTGGATAATGTGTGATGCTTGCTGTGGTTACAGGCACCCAGTTCCCATCGGTTGGTGCTTGCCATCCGTCTGAGCTGGAGGCTGCGTTGGGAACACCGCGTTTCTGAACGTACCTCCTATTGCTTAGCATAACCTCCCTTTAATCTCTCTGTGTTCTTGTTCCTGATATCCTTGGCAGCCTGTTCCTCTGCTCTGTTGGGTGCTGCTGCTGGCTGTACTTTGTCCAGCCAGGCCTGTTTTTTTATCCATTACTGGAGATCTTAAGTGCTACTGTCCTCTTCCTCCTCCTAAAACAAATTTGAGCTTCATCAAGTAGTTGTTGAAATGGTGTTGAAAACAGGTCAGGGAAAGCCTCCACTAGAAACTCCTGAGTTCTTCAGGCATCTTAATTTAAATAGTCTAGTCATCCAAAGTTTGATTTTAGGCACTCTTAATAAGTACTGCCCTTAAAAAAGGGACTCTGAGCAATGTGCTTGGCAAAGACTCCCGCCTGAACATCCCCTGTGCAGGGCAGGGTATGGGTTAAGATAAAGTCATTCTGGTTCAGAAGAGCAAATTTCCCAAAATGGGTGAAATGAAATACAAGTGAGATGTGCTCTGCCTTTTTTTCACTTCTCATTATAACCCTTTGTACTCTCCCTATGTATTTTTACCCGATAAAGACAGGAGATGTTTATTAACATCTGCCTTGTGCTTTGGTAACGAGTGTACAGAAATCGCCTTGCTTTAGCTGTTCAAAGACTGAGATAAGATTTTTTTTTCCCTTTCTCAGAGGAAAAGAGGAGAAAAATTTCTTCAATCTGTGTATCTCAGAACTATAAAACTGTGCATCGCTTCCCAGAGAACATGCATGCCCTCAACAGAGGTTTTTGCTGCAGATTGGTTTATTTTCGTTTGAAACTTTTACACCTTAGGAAAAAGGAAATACGGTAGCACTGTTGTGGGTTCTCGTGCCAAAAATGTGGTGCCTGAAAGAAAATTGTGTTCTTCTATTCATAACCATTTTAATCTTTCTGCAGACCTACAACAGCTGTGCCAGACTGTGCTTAAACCAGGAAACGGTGTGTCTAGGAAGCACGGCTATGAAGACTGAAAATTGTGTGGCCAAAGTAAGTAAAAGAACGTCTTTGGTTTGGAAAGTTTTTGATCGTATTGTTCATTGTTAATCAAAGAAAAGTTCTTGTTAAAAATTACACTTTGAAAAAGTATTTAAATAGTAAGTATTTAAAGTATTTAATTATTTGGGGTAGGCTTTGCTGTCCTTCAGCGCAGAGTTTTGAGATGTGCTGTTTCCCTCTGGTGGGAATGATTACTCGAGTCCTGAGCTATCTGGGACTGAAGGGTTCATTCTGCTCTACAAGTAATAGGCTTTTCCAGTGGCATGACCTATTCCTGCCATGTAATTAGCTGTGGCAACTTCAAATGATAAATGATCCAGATACATGCTAAAATATTTCATGAGAACTCTTTATATCATGTTTAGGGGAGGGGGAGGAGGGCGATACGGCAGTTAGAGCAGTAAGAAAATGGGTATCTGAATGCATCAGAGAAAAGACATTCCTTGAGAATTGTGGTAGATATGATCAGAACAAACGAGGTGCCAGCAGCCACCCTCTTTTCTTAAAATTTAGCATAACTGCAGTAAAATAGGATACATGCAGGGTTGTTTGTGGGTGGAAAACGTTTGAACCATGATGCAATAAGTATAAAAAGGCTGTGTGAAGGATCTGCTTAGCCTTGTATAAGCTTCGTATTTCCACTGAAAGGAAGTTTAGAATGGGCATGCAGGACAGATCAGTGCACTCAGCCATCTGTTACTGAAACCAGCTGGCATTTTGTTGCTCCTCTGTCACCACAACCTGACCACTTGAAAGCCTGTTTTCTCTTTCATTTTTTCAGTTCCTTGATTTTCTTGAAGACCCTTTTGTGTTTCATACTCTGAAGGCGCCTTGTCCCTTTGGGACCCATTTTTGTATTGACCTTTAAGATATTCTCCCAGCTAAATCTTTGCTTTGGGATTTTTCTGGTGAAATGTGGATGCTTCGTTATCTTTGTTTTCTGACAGTGAATTGGCCATCATGAGTTTATCGTGGTGCATGCAGGTGGCTTAGCACTTGTAAACTGTGCTTGACATGCAAGGTTGCCTTCCAGTGAGAAGGCACTTCAGAGGGAGGCTACCAGCCCTGCTACAACGTGGTAATATTTAATACCCAAACCTTCATTCCTAGCTTAAGATCAATGGTATTGCACATTGCTTTCTAAGGACCTTTATGATGCAAAGTGGGTGAAGCACATATAGCATATAAGCATATAGCACTATTTTGATGCCACAAGCAGTTCACAGCAAGCTAGCTAGAGCAAACCCACTCAACCCCATGTCCTTCACAGCACAGGGTCTTTTTGGACCTGATCACCTTACTAAGGAGCAAGGATGTGCAAGAAGTACAGCTCATTTAAGTCATGCCTCTTTTAACTTAAATGATACACCTTTAACATCCTAATGCCCCATATAATAGACTCTCCTAAAGCATCGTGTTCAGTGGGGATCATGGTAAGAGATAGGGTTAGGGTTGGAGGTAGGAACAGGAGGACTTCTTTCATGTTATTGGGATGAATTTGAACAGTCATGGAAAGGTGTATGTCCTTAAGTATTACATCTATGTGCTTTATGATGATGTGTATAGTCATACCTACTGTATATACTGCTATATGGCTATGCAGACTGTATATGCTATATGATATATATATATATATCCTTATATATAGTCCTTATGAAATAAAAATAAGGACTTTTCTGGGGATATATTTCCCCTATTATCCTGTTACGCCCCTTCCCCTTGCCTTCTAAACTACAAACCAAAGTGAAATAGGTTCTAAGAAATTTCACATTCCAGAAGTGTTGAAGCATTTAAAAATCCAGTTAGCTGGATGCAGATGGCTCAGTGATGGCATAGGCAAATGGCACAACTGTTAAATGTTCCCTCGGTGCAGGGCTTAAACGGGATTTAAGGAGTTCAGAGGCCTTCTCCTAGCCTTACGCACATGGCGAGTTTTATCCTCCATGATTGATGTGTCTTAGGGCTTTGGACATTAAAATGTTTTGTCAGGGGGGTGAGTGCTGGAAAGCATGAGCGTGGGTTGCTTTATCTGCAGCACTTTTCCAAAAGTATTATAGGGTTTTCATTAATTTATTTTTGTTTAAAACCAGCAGTGGAAGGCGGAAAGGATTACTTTGGGAATTATGATTCACCTTTTCTGATTCTGCAGTGCAGCATCAGCCCTGACTGGGAATCACAGTGAGTGCTGTCGTGTCCTTGTCAGAGCTGTCAGTCTGCAAGAGACGAGTTTTTTTTCTGAAAACAGGATTTCTGATTCTGCATCTACTTGCAAGCAAAGAAAACTGTGCTCTGCTATGATTACATTAATGCCATTTGCTGATCATGTGTTTGATGCTTCAGAAGTCTGTTCAAAGAATGATTTTTCGTTTCTCTCGAGGCCATGCACATCAATATTGAGATACCTTTTTTTTTCAGACTGAAGCACTGCCCATCCATCAAGCTCTCTTGTTAATGAGTACTTCTGTACAGGACATTCAGGTGCAACCTACCAAGCTGACAAAGCTCAGCATTGTTTCTAAAATGGTGGAAAATGAATGTGTGTGTGTATATATACACACAAGATTCTCAAGTATGCAAAGTAGCATAGGGTTACTGGGTTTTCAACCACTCAAGGAGCTCTGTGCTAGTGAGTTAGTCTGCCCAGTCATCTGTATGATGCCAAACTGACTGTCCACAGCCAGGTGCTCAGTGGTATTTGCAAGCCTGTGGATTATCTAGTTTTATTCAGGCACTTAAAAATAGAATATCCTGTTCTGATTAATCTTTGCATGTTGTACTTAGCCTTGCTTTTCTGGTATGTTTGTCCTCTGAAACTCCCTTGTTGGGACCCGGGCGTATGTGGTTAGAAGCAGATAAGGCACAATAAAAATTGTTTCAAGTGTGCACATGTTTTGACTGAAGAGGAGGGATCATAAATTAAAAGCTATATATTTAGGTGCACAGATGTCACCTGCGTGATCTGTAGCAGCAGTTCTTTCATCCTCAGGAGCTCTTCCATTAATCTTTCGGCATGTCGCTGCCCATTGCCTTTGAGTGATCAACAAGTGCGATGTATATTTAACCTAATGTCTTTGAAAAGTAAATGTACTTTCTAATTGTGTTTTTACATATGTACACACACGCACAAATCCTCCTGCTCGGTCCCTTTTAGAAAGCACAAAATGTTTGCAAGAGGATTTCTTGTTACAACGCTGCTGGTGTGCAACCACAAGCGGACGGTTTCCTCAGAAATTTTGTGCTAGGTGCTTAAATAAGGTAGAAATGTAGCATGAACCTGAGCTCCAAGGACAGGGTGTTTGGTTTTAATGAGGCTTATTGAAAACTGGCCAAATGAGCATCTGTTCCCATTGTTTATTCCATATTTTGTAAGCCAGTATCTTCAGGCCAGATAATGGTGTTGGTGTGCGTTTCAGCCTCAATTAGAGAGGGCTACAGTTAAAAATCCCCTGGCATCTGGTCTGTCCCTAGGACTCTCGTGATGCTCCTGGGTGTGCAAACAAGTTCCTCTTCTGTTGTGTGCCTGGGACCGCTTGCTTTCTGTGGTGACCTTCATACGCTGCTCTGCAGGGAGGGAGGCTCTGACTGTCTCCAGTCTCCTTGGCTGAGTCTTTGGATGGTTTATGTATGCTCACATTTACAAAAGGAGATCTTGCCTTGTCACCCTTTTATAATGTGGGCTGCCTTAGGTTTGAGTTTTGCTGTTCGCTTGGAGTCTGTTGGATTTTGTACTTCCTTGGATGTTGGAAATAACCTCCTGATTCAAAGTGCTCTTTTCTTTCCCAGCAAGAGATTAGTGTATAGTTGATGTTATGGGGTTGTACAGCCAAAACCCATTTCCTATGCTCATTAAATAGGTCTTTACTTTTTATTAACTAATGCAGTCAGTTCCACTTTGTCTGCATCTGCTACGTAAGGAAGTGTTCTCACTTTGTACATTTATTTCTCTCCTTTATGTGCCAGAGACAGGCAACCTATGACACACCAGCCAGCACAGACACTTCTTAAATGGCACACAGCATCCCCAGGTTTTTGCTTAGATCTGAGCTCAGCAGCACCTGGGAGAGGTTCTCTGTGTCTTTCTCCAATTTGGTTCACCTCAAATAAAGAAAAATGCATCTGAGCACTCCTTGCTACCCTTGTATGATCACTGGTCCTGCCTCTTAAGGTCCCACCCAGCTAACTAAGAGGCTTCTCAGGTCTTTGCATGAAGCATGCCGTGCCTTTTAGGGAATTACTTGATTGCTCTTTGTTGTACTTTAAACTTTGCATTCTGTAATGGTTACACTATTGAACTAGGAATCTGGAAAGGGTTCGTCCTCTTTATTTCCAGCACTGTGAGTTTATCCTCTGTGGCCTTGATGGCTCTTCTTGCTCCCTTTTACAAAGGGAACTGAATCGTACTCTCCTTGCAGGAATGCTGTGAGATTTAACTGCATGATACTTTTGAGATCCTTTTATGAAAAGTTCAGCATAAGCACGCAGTAATGTGCTGTTTGCAGTATATAGGGGAACAGAGCTATGTTCTGGTCAATTCAGAAATGCAGAACAAAGCTTGTCACTTCAAGCATGCTATGTGAAATTTTCTTCAAAGATGCATAGTGTTACTGAGCTATAGCTACACTTCTACATTAAAGGATGATTCCATAAAGCAGGGAGTGGTGGAAGGGGCTGGTAATTGCAGTCTGCTTGCCTTTGTGAGTTCTTTCTGCATCACTACTTCAGAATTTTTAGAATAAGAATAGTCTGCACAATAATAATAACATCAAGCTCAGAATTTTTATATGAATTCAATGGCGAAACCGCAAGTACTCTTTAAAAAAGAGACATTTAGGGTTCCAGTTTGGCAGTAGGACAAATGGATCTGAAGAGCGTCCCTCTTGTACTCTCAACTCCCTTTATGTCACAGATTGATGGCTCCTCTTTCCTGAGTGTCCCTGCATTTACTTTGCATGAACAACTCAGCCAGCTCGGAGATCTGCTGTGATACACTG